AGAAACGAATCGAAAGAGGACTCAGTTATGGTAAATGGTAGTATGACATAATTGTTTTACTTTTTCTCTAGTTTTCTTTATCAAGAATAACCATGGAGACGATGCAAAATTCCGTTCAAGAGGAGGAGGAAGTGGACTGGAAAAAAACTGTGAGTAATGGTAAACGGTAATAGAAGATAATTATTTTAGAATGTTATTGAAATATTTTAATCCGTTTATTATTTTCCCCGTAGCATCACATATGTATAATAATTATTTTTAATGCACTTTCTTTTCTTTTTTTTACAGTTATGCACCAAAAATTTTATACATTTATTTTTATTATACTATATTCTAGGTAGATTGAAAATTATTAAACATAAAATATTCGTAATTTGTAATCTCCGTATGTGCATATATTGAAATTATTCTAGGGTATGTATGTGTTCAATAAAGTCCATCGATGTTACTACAATTCCATTTAGGTTCACTCCCCGTTTTAATTTTGTTATTTAATATTCAAACTTTTCTCTTTATTCTCGATAGTAATTGTAAGGATTTTTCAAATTAAACTCTTAGGGTGGGGCCTAAGAGTGGGGCTCAATAAAAAACGTTCTCGGGGTGATCATTTACTTTGGTTTCAATTTAATTCGGATGTGGACATCTTCAGGATGCACATCCCTCGTGGGTCTTCAGAAGCGGTTACCTCCTCGTGGTTAGACCCGGGCAATGGTATTTTACTTTCAGTATAATGTTTAACATATTTTTTATATGTTATACATTCCATTGCAAGTAAAATCTAGCCAAAGACCGCTTACCATAAACATTATAATGATAATTAGTTTCTTTTAAATCCCTAATTAATATAATATCCTTATTCATTTCTCTCCTTGATTCCTTTTATCCATTTAATATACAGAAACTAATTATCTTATAATGTTTCTTTAATAACTATTATACATTTACAGGTAGTACTTATCTAGAATTTCAACCACCAATTATCACACCTTTCTTACTTCTTTCACTTTCTTTCTTTTCCTTTATATCAAGTATGCTCACATGAGTTACCATACATTCAAATGAATTTACTTAACTTTTACTTAACTATAACTCAGCCGCAATTTTCCTTGTATTGAAGCAGAAAATTAAAACTTCTCGCAAAAATGAGGAGAATTTGGCTCGTAAACTGACATTTTCAATGGAAAATATCATAAATCGACTAATGTTTCAATGGGATTATGATTACAGATGACCAAGCTTATTGTACGAGGACTATGATCTAATTATTTCGACCACTATTAACCGCTATAATACTTTATAGGAAAACGGCAGAAGCAAAGATGTAAATCTAGTATTTAAAATTCTCGTACAATATAACTATACTATATATACTATCAAAAAATATACTATATTCTTCCGTCATCGCGTTAAGTACCTACTTTCGCCCACTGGTGGTCCCGGTAGTAACTAAGATGAATCTAGTTAGATAAAAAAGAGGATTTGTGAGCTTCTAGGTACTTCTGTATTCTTCGGTTCATGTCACATACAACATTATCGGCAATGTATCGATATATCGTAAATGATACGAAATTTTGTTAAACAAAAATCAAATTAAAAAATAATGAATTGAAAATGATTAGACAAAAGTTACATCATATATAAAAATTTGTTTTTAAATCATTAAATTAATTTTATCATTTCTGTTGCCATCTAATTTAAACGAATTAAAACTGAACTATTATTTCAATAATGCTTATGTAAATTTATACAAAAAATAAAAAAAAAAATATAAATACAACATAAACAATATCGATTATTCAAATTTCAAAAGATGTATAAGATTGCAGTGAACATCGTAAACCATTTACTTTCGATTCAAAATCTTCTTAATAAAATATAAATTGTCTTTTTATATCGAGTAAACAATTTGTAATTAAATTGAATAATCCACGTTTACGTTCTATCCTTATCAATATCTTTCTTCTCATTCTTTTATATACTTTTATAAAACAAAATTATTAACTTTTAAAATCATATAAATTTGATAATAAAAATCCTAACGTGAATTAGAAAGATATAACAATAAAAATAAAATAAAATGAAATTTAGACATAGAAAGAGAGAGAATAAAAAATAGAAAATAATTTTATGAGAGATGAGACTCAAATCTCGCGGTATTTCGGAAAATTAGAACGAAAGATATATAGATAAAGAAATAAATGGAAACTGGAGTGGTGCGCCAGCGCGCGCGCGCGCGCATTTTGATATCGACCAGGGGGGTTTTCTACTCCTCCTTTCCCCGTAAATGTGAATAGGAACAAAGAGTAAGAGAGAGGTAAATATGTTGGAAAGAACAACGACTGGCAGAGAATTCGCAGGGCATTTAATTGCTGTTTGCCGGTACGCGGCAACGCCTCGTCCCGGCGCTGAACAGCGCGACGTGGTCAAAAACGTCTTCCGAAAAATAAAAAGGAATCGGCAATTCGGACATATTTCAGCCGATTCCGTAAATTGAAACATTAATTAAGATTTTGCAACGAAATAAGGAAGAAAGTAAAGAAGATAGGTGTTATATTAGAAGGAATATTATTGATGAATTTTTCGAATACATCGATGGAAGAAACTTCTTTGATTTCACCTACGAATGAAGAAAATTAAAAAGAAAAGAAATAATTTATCAATAATTATGACGACGTACGATTAACAATTCATATTGAATATATTATTATTTCGTCTAATCTATCGTATATCATCAACTGTGTGAAAGATAAAATAAGAAGATTTTGAATATTCGTGAATTAACGATTAATACTTGGAATATCATTTGGAAAGTATTATTCCGTAGGATGAATATATATTATGTCTGTTTTAACTATGGTTCGATATAGTGCCAATGATTATTCATATTGTGGTATACGGAAATGAAATGCAATGTGCAATAAAAAGTTTAATTAATATTTTTCAACATATCACGTTTAACATATCGTGGAAGAAACATGTGGAGTACAGAATTCGTTTTTGAATTATAATTTGAATGTATAACGCATGTTATATCCGAGAGATTATTTGAAACATCAAAAAACAAGTGCATCGAACTGCATTAGGACGTTATTTTCGTACGTAAGTGTTTATATATCTCTAGGGATTACCGCATCACGATATATATATATATATATGTTGCAATTACCAAGCAACATTATATTTTTATGTAACTGAAAATTCGTATGATCCAATTACAAATTTTCGATCGATAATTCAAATATTTCGAAAAGAGAAAATGTATAAATGAATTAATTTTTTGGGATTTAGATAATTTATTTAAACGAATTACTTCGATTGAATTTGAAAAGAAATTTCTCGTCATTAATTCTGACAAAAATTGTTATATCCATACAGGTATGTATGTGTGAATAAATGTGTAGATTAATTGAAAAAAATATTATAATAATGATAATATAATAAGGTAAAAAATAAATGTGTTAATATTCTATTACAGAGGATGCGAATATTAGATCGATACAAAAGAACAAACACTGAGAACTCTTGATAATTATCAATTGCAAATGTCCTTAATAATATAAAAAAAAACATAGACACCAATTTGTTGATTCATATTTTATATAATAGTTCGTTCGTTGCGCATCCAATTAGCGATCAAATAAACGGCAAAACGGAAGCGAAAAACACTTATAAGTGAATAAAAGAATAAACACATTCCCACGAGTATAAAGTTTTAATGTTTCTAATTGAAATTGTTTAGTTAAAACGCGTTGATAAACAGATGAGTTCGATTAAAACCTTAGTGATATTCTTCTATGCATTTTGGAACATGCGAATATGTGTAGAACGTAAATGCATATAAATAAAAACGTAAGTAAAGAAAAGTTTAATTTATTAAATGAAATTTAATCTAAAATAATATTTAATTAAACGATATCAAATCGTTTGTTTGGAATACTTTACAGATCACACAGAATAGCCGATATTAATGACTCGTGTTAGAGTAATTTACGATTCTTCGAAAGGATATCAAAATAATACGCATACAAAACTGCATTCTTACGTTTACGAAGAATTTAGAATTAATGGCATACGAGAATGAACAAACTTATTGATTATAAATCAATATTTGATTTTCATCTTATCCGGTATGAGTTCATTTCAAGTTCAAATACTTCAAAAAATATAATAATTTCCTTTTATGTGATAATAAAAATTTTATCTTTTGATAGATATAAATTTAATTGTACTAAAAAGAATATCAACTGTCTGATATCATCTGGTAACTGATAACTAATATCAACTGTCTGATATCATCTGGTACCTGATAACTAATATCAACTGCTCTTTATTCTTTGTCAATGTCACACAAAAAATCATGTATATTTTCAATATTGTCCTATATTTTAAACGTTCAAAATTGGCCTATACGCACGTCCGATCTGGTATGCGTAACAATCTTTTTCCAGACGTGGTAAGTGAAAAATAATCTAACATTACCACATCGAACATTTCATTTAACCATAAAGATCATATGATTTTTCATTAGGCAGTACATCACGGTGGGAAAACCGTGCAAATTAATGTACGCCATAATACCACCAATGCTTCATCCGAATCTAAAAAATATACTAGTATCTCTCGATTACAAAGATGGTTAATAGGAATATTCATTTTCCTGCTAATGTTTATCGTAGTTATCAACAGTTACTCTACCAGACAATTTCGTATTATTCATTTTGGTAACATCGAGAAAGAAACTATAGAAGGTGAGTCCAAAAACAATCCAATATTTCTATAATAATATAACAAACAAACAAAAATCGAATAAAAATAGATATATTCAATAAAAAATAATTTATAGATAATTATGAAGAACCTTTTATATCGATCGAGAATACCGGATATCTGGTTAGCACCAAAGGTTGTAAAATACCAGCAATGGAACCATTCGATCGAGCGATTATGCGTTTTATTCAAAAAGAAAAACCAATAGTATGTAAAGCTGGAACGATACCACCGCTTGTCGAATCAAATAACTTTCTGGTTTATGTAAATCCATTTTCGCGAATGCTTTATTACAATCAATCAACGGATATCGTTAATTGTTGCTGGAATGCTTTCGAACGAATGAGAAACAACGATAATGCTAACACGTTAGTATGATCTAAAATGTTAAGGTAAAAAATAAAATATCATTCTATCCTTTTGCTTGCTAGTTTAATTCAAATTCGGCTTGAATTCTATTCGCAGATATAACGACGATTGTTATTTCTTCAATGAATCTAATCAGGTTACCGCGGAATTCATAAAAGTCGAATGTTGGCGAGGGAAAGAAATAATATATAAAGATTATCACGCCTTCGTACCTCGAAAACCGGACGTTGAAAAAAGATGCGAACTTGCTACGAAAACGAATCCCGTTGAAAATCGATTAAGTATTCTGGTGATAGGTGTTGACTCGGTTTCGAGATTGAACTTCCGTCGAAGTATGCCAAAAACTGTTAAAACTTTAGAAAATTTGGAAGCAGCGGAAATGCTAGGCTATACGAAAGTTGCCGATAATACTTATCCAAATCTTATAACTGTGCTGTCCGGCCTAAATCAAACAGAATTGGAAAAACTCTGTTGGCAGCATAAAAAGAAAACGTTCGATCAATGTCCGTTCATTTGGAAAACCATGAGTTCTGCTGGATATCGAACGATATTCGCCGAGGATGCCTGTCACATGAGTATCTTTAATTATTTAAAACCAGGATTTATGAAAGAACCAACAGATTATTACCTAAGACCGTTCTGTCTCGAAAGCGAAAACGATATTGGTAACACCAATAAATTGAACGCGAATCTTTGCGTTGGTACAAGATTAACATTCGAGAATCTTCTAGATTATACTAAAAAAGTAGCAACAACGTTCCCGAATGATCTTTATTTTGCATTTACCTGGATGGCTAGTTTGACCCACGATTATTTGAATTACGCGCAATTAAGCGACAAGGGTTACAACAAGTTGCTTGAATTTCTTTCGAAAAAACAATATCTCAACAATACCGCTTTAATAATGATGAGTGATCACGGTTTGAGATTCGGACAATTTCGTCAGACGTTTCAGGGCAAAATGGAAGACAGTCTTCCGTTCTCCTTTCTGGTTTTACCAAAATGGTGGAGAGACAAATATCCCGTGGCTTGGGCTAACATGCGTAAGAATATGCGAAGTCTAACCACCGGATTCGATTTACACGAGACGTTAAAAGATTTAGCGGATCCTAGAAGGGTGGAAGAGGAAACTTTGAGACAACGAAGCGAACAAATTTCCAAAGAGAATATACCGCGTGGTATAAGTTTATTTTTACCTATACCCGATTACAGAACATGCAATATGGCAGGAATACCAGGTAACTTATGTATGTGTCACAGATCGGAAGATATATCGCTCGACGATATAGGAGTTAAAAATAATGTTCAATATCTGATGCAAGTGTTAAACGACATGTTAAGGAAATATCCCCTTTGCTCCACGTTACATTTACGAACGATCAAACAAGCCAAAATATTGGCCAATGCAAACGAATCGTCTTGGATCGATTATTCGATACAATTTCAAACATATCCAGGAGAGGCCATATTCGAAGGTATGGTACGTTATAGAAAAGACGAAAAATCTTACAATCTGCTCGGAACAATTGGCAGGCTTAACGCTTACGGTAGCCAAAGTGCGTGTATGACCGATTTTAACATGCGCCTTTATTGTTACTGCCTTTAGGCGCGTCACATATCTGATCAACTTTAGACTGGTGATATTTTGTAGTATTTTAAATAAATATTCCTAAGCCATTAAATCGTAACATTAATTTCGTTCACCGATATACTTGCGGGATCGAGCACCTTCATACTGGAATAACAAAGTAGATATTAGTGAAGAAGTTGACCAGACAGAGGATCCTAAATAACTTAAAGGTTCAATGGGTCCAACCAGTTAAATGGCCCAATTTTTTTTAACCAATTCTACATGTGTATACAGCATGTATCTAGTAACTGGACCGAATACTGTAACTTTTTTCTTCTTGCAGATAGGCAAAACTTGTAGAAAAATGTTTGCATTGTTTAACAAAATCTATTATTAATTAGTGCGAATTTTTGCAATAGTGTATCGCAACATTATTTTCGTTCGCTGATATATATTTATAGGGTGTATTTGGTAATTAGACCGAAATATTGTAACTTATTCTTTTTGTAGATAAAGAAAAATTGTTAAATAAAAATTTACATTCTTTAGCAAACTCTTATCAAGTAATGCGAATTTTTGCAAGAATGCATCGGTGCAGTTGCACAATTGATACCATTTTAAATACATTAAATATGAAATTAAACATTATACTCACCAAATGTGACGATTGTTGTAATGAAAATGATAAAAGCGATGATCTATGGAAAGTGATGATCGTAAACAGCAACCAACTTTAGAATACACGGTATTAGATATATTATCGAAAGAAATATGAACTCAATGTTGTGATATTGTTAACGTTTTACAGTAAATTTATAATAAATCATGTCACGTTTACTTTATACGATATTTAGAAGATAACACTGAACTTGTGAATATAATTAAATCTAAAATAGATCACTTTGACTAAGAAGATAGCACCGTTTTACACCATTACTTTCGCGTTTAAATGAAACAATAGCGCGCTACAATTTTTTTTACAGCGCCATCTAGTCATCTATTTAGAGCATTCTAATTGGTCGAAATGAATTTATTTGTTGGAAATGCACTAGCTCGCAATTTGATTAAATCATTTTTGACAATCGCTTATTTGTCAATATTACATTAACGTATACACGTAAAGAATTAATTTTTATATAAACAAATCATTCGTAAAATGAAATTTATCGAACATTAGAAATAGTAATACCAACAAATTAAAAATAAACTCTATCGAAAGATAAATCCACATATCTTCTTCAACGAGTGTGACGTTACATAGCAATATTTTTAGATCTCATCTGTGAACCAATCACGAACACCCACGATTGACGGGGTGTTTGTTGTAACTTCAGCTGCGATGGCAGCGATTAAATATATTTCAGTGTTTTTTATAAATTTAGCGATATGTACAATAATTTCGTTGGCAGGGTAAATACAAATTTACATTATTATTTAATAATCCTATTTTATTTCTAAGTTGTAAATCTTTCCTTTCTACATAACCTGTCTTTCTTATTAAATAACAATCTTATGAATGCATGATCATCAATGACATTTTTATTAAATTCATAAACATTGTGTTAAAGATTTATTTAATGTATTAATATATTTAATAAATAAAATGAAAATAAGTTAATAAGTATTATAATGTTTCATTGTTATTTTCTTACAGGAGGGATTTTTACAGTATCCTCAATGTTCCACGCAGTGCAACAACAAATGCAATAAAAAAAGCTTATAGGAAATTAGCTAAAGAATTGCATCCAGACAAAAATAAAGATGATCCAGACGCTTCTCAGAAATTTCAAGATTTGGGAGCCGCTTATGAAGTACTCTCTGATCCTGAAACGAGAAAAATGTATGATCGATGTGGAGAAGAGTGTGTGAAAAAGGATGGCTCGATGGATAATTCCAATCCTTTTGCAAGCTTCTTCGGAGACTTTAGTTTTCATTTTTCTGGGGATTCTAATCATCAACAGGAAACACCTAGAGGTTCCAATGTTGTAGTTGATTTATCTGTCACTCTTGAAGAATTATACAGCGGCAATTTCATTGAGATAACTAGAAATAAAGCAGTAGCTAAAGCTGCCAAAGGGACAAGAAAGTGTAATTGTAGACAAGAGTTTGTGACAATTAATTTAGGAAATGGTAGATTCCAAATGATGCAGCAACAAATTTGTTCCGAATGTCCAAATGTTGAATTTGTAAATGAGGAACGAATATTAGAAGTTGAAGTTGAACCAGGCATGGTTGATGGACAAGAAACTAAATTTACTGCTGAAGGAGAACCACATATTGATGGTGAACCAGGAGATTTAATAGTAAAGTAAGTGTTAAAATAATTATTATAGATGATATCGATAGACTTGTTGTCTTATAAAAGATAACATTAAAAAAATATATTGTCATTCATAATAATATATTTTACAGAATTCAGACGGAACCACATCCAGTTTTCGAAAGAATTGGAGATGATTTATACACGAATGTAACTATTTCGATGCAAGATGCTTTAATAGGTTTCACTATGGATATAGAACATTTAGATGGGCATAAAGTGACTATTCATAGGGATAAAATTACCAGACCAGGCGCTAGGATCAGGAAGAAAGGTGAAGGGATGCCTAACTATGATAATAATAATCTTCACGGTATTCTTTACATCACATTCGATATCGCATTCCCTGACAAAGAATTTACGAATGAACAGAAAGAAGGTAATCTATTCTAAGACTAATTATTTATTATTATATAAATCATTCTTGAAAGTGTTTTGGAATTTTAAAAGCGTAACATATTAATTGTTTCTTTCTAGAAATTAAAACACTTCTACAACAGAATCCTGTGAATAGAATATATAATGGAATAAAAAAAGTTACAGTTATGTAAATATAAAGTAAAAACTGCCTAGTGTGTAACATCATTGAAATGTCTGTAATGCCATTGAATTTTTATATAATTGTGTAATAGATCGGGGTACTTAACTATCCGAAACTATCAACAGGATTGATAATTGTAATAGATCGGAGTTCTTAACTATCCAAAACTATCAACGGGATTGATAATTGATTTTTAGCTCCGATAAAACGATATGTGCATAATCGAAATGATTTGATCATAATACACACATAAACTTCCTCTTTAATCCTAAAAGACTGCATGTTACGTATGATTTCTAGTGTCAATAATTTGAAATAATGAAGATACATAATTAAATAATTATTTAAATAAGGTATTTTGCGTTGAAACTGCAAGAGTGTTGAATGAATGTTTCAAATAAATGAAAAAATTTCGATTTGAATGATGAAACTACTATTATGAAAGCCGGTAATGCATTTTTAAATAAAATGTTTAAAACCAACACATGGCTGAAATATATAGTAAATTAATCAAACTTATTAATTTATTATTTCTTTATAAATTAATTAATATAGTTGTTTATTTGATCAATATTATTACTGAATTACTGAATTATATTGATCAAATGAGACAAGAAAAAAGAAAACATATATATTAAAAATAATTATAATAGAAAAAGATTTAATTTATGTACAGATGGCGTGTCAGTAAAAAATCATGAAAATGTAGAGATCTATTCAATTTCGACAATCCTAAATCTCACGAAATGTTCCCTTCCTCCTACAAATTCAATTATAGAATGCCCCTATCGAATATTTGTCGTATTACAGTTTACTCGATCTGTGGTTTGTAAATATTCAGCGGTAGAGTATGTAATCAAACCAATGCATTTCTTCGTGAAGTACGTGATAAAGGAACAGCTGATATTGACATTATTTAGTTACTTTGTAGTAACTGCAATAATAAAAGACAACTAATGGTTTATCAAATAACATCAAAATGAACATTATTAGAAATAAATTAGCAATAAATTTAACAGAGGCGACAATATCTCAAGTAACATGACAAAAAACGTATCTTTATATCGTACTAACGTTTATAAAACTTAGGTTAGAAAAAATAAACAATAACATTTAAACGATGGAAGAATATATGCATTTGTGGAAAGGTGTTGATAAATTGTCATTTACGTTTGGCGATAAGCCTAATGGTGTAGTCAACAAGTTAATTGCCATTAAGGATTACATTTTTGTAGCAACTAGTACTAATTATTTATATTATGGTGAAGTATTATTGGAAGATGATAAATCTCCAACGCTTACTCTCAAAAGAGCTCAATTTGATGCCGTTGATATTGCATCTAATATCAATTATTTGTTCATTATTAATTCCAAAGGTCATGTATTAAAAGTTAATCCTTATGATTTGAGCGTCATTGAAACAATTATTCTTAAAGAGGATCCAAAATGTTGTAGTCATGGGTAAGCAATTAAATTGATAATTATTTAATTTATTCTTATTGAACAATCACAAGTTATTTATCGTTGATTATATTTTATAGGTATAGACAAGAAAATGAAATAATTAAAGTTAAATCGATAGCAGTTAATGATAATTCAGCATTGTTCGTTACTGAAAATGGACAACTTTGGGCAAGCGGAAGTCAACCAGAGATAGATATTAATAGTACAGAACCTAAGAAAGTAAAATTTTTTGATGGAAGAATCATAACTCAGGTTGCATGCGGCTATAATTTTAATGTTGCTACTGTAAGGAAACAGACTAAAACTATGAGAGATGATACGGATAGTGAAAATGAATTAGAAGAAGAAGTTTTTGTTAACTCGTGTCCTCAATGTCTCAATAATATTATGTTAAGTCCTGCTAGCATAACATCGTCGGATACTTGCCCAATGGGACTCCATGTTCAGCAATTTAGCGAAGATCGTTCTACTAATTCTATTAGTGCTTTATCTACTGCCAGTAAGGAACACGATATACCTCTTCTTGAAGAATGTGATAAAAAAGATCATAACGTTGTTACAGAAGAAGACGAGGAAAAAGATTTGATTAATATTTCAGAATTAGATAAGGAGGAAAAGAAGAATGTAATTTTTATAAATACAGAAGCAGCAAGACAATTCTTAACCAGACAATTATCTTGGGTTTCATCTTATGGAAGTGTAAAGGAAGAACTCATCGATAATACAGATAATCCAACCAAATTAATCAAGCAAAATGTTTCTAATATGGCTAATTTTGTATA